TGTAATGAAGGGAGTGCTAGCTGTGTTGTAATGTGTTAGGTTGTATAGGTTGTTCTTCAAAACCCTGTGGGCAGTAGTATGTTTGTAGAATGTGAATAAAAGAGGCTGTATGTGCCAGTACAGTCAGTTCTTCTTGACCCTCAACACGTAGTCTTGTCTCATGATTGGAGGGGACAGCTATATTCACACGGGGATTGCTATGCTTTGCATACTCCCTTGAGCTTTAATCACTTGGCTCTTTTAAGAGCTTGTTCCTGATACGCTGTCCTGGAGGAAAGGTCTTCCCCACACGGTCCTGGAGGACAGAAGCTGATCCAGGGTGGACAGAAGGCATCGAGACTCCAGTTAAGCTACGGCGGTTGTGGAGTCTGCGGTGGTTGTGTTGTCCGGTGCGGTACTTGTGGTCCTCAGAGCAAGCTAGGAAGCATCCATTAACGGAAGGTTCTGTTACATCCGGTATTCCTCGGAGTCTTTTGTTTCTTCTGTGGTGCATGGCCTCCAAAGATGTGACCATTTTGGTGAGTCTCTGGATCTGCAGGGACATGGTAGTCATTTGGGTTTGGGTCTCTGCTAGTCGGACGTTCCATTCTCCCTCTCGGGATTCAACTTCCCCCAAGCGGTGAGTCAGGGTGCCGATCTCTGACTGTATCCCCGCAAGGTCCGCTTTCCACACTGCCCGCAGGTCCAGAAGCAGACGTTTAATGTCCCCTTTGGTGGATGGGGATGTGTCTGTGTCTGAATCCGCCTTCTGGTGCATACCGCTGTCTGTCTGCGAGGCCACCATGTCGTCCTCCCCCACGGAGTCATCCGAGGTGCTTGAGCCTCGTGGTCTGGCAGGGGCCATCTTGGTCTGGGCCTGGAGTCATAATTTTGACCGAACGTGCACATGGTCCTATGACAAAAACAGTTCCAGGGAATCAGGACGAACGGTTGGTCTCTCTTTCTGGAGTACAAAAGTAAAAAAAATTACATAAACTCAGCATTTTAAAGTGCATTGGGCAAGGTATATTGCAGGGCCCATAGTCCTGAGGGAGGATGCTGGCCAGCAGGCACCTCCAAGAACCTGTGACGAGGTTCAGTTTGTCAAGCTCAAGCACATATCCAAATCCTCCCCCGGTTTAGGAAGCAAAGAGATATTGGCTTCCAGGCTTGATCTGGGAATTTTTAGATTTGAGGAGATGGAGTTTATGGCTTCTAAAAGTTGTTTGCCTAATTATTTTTGGAAGGTTTTATAATGAGTGGCCGAGAAACCATCTGGGCCTGCTCTTTAATTAATATGGCTGACTGAGCTTTGAAGGCAGCCGGACACCTTGAGGAACATGGAGGCAGCCATCTGAGTTAGCATACAGCCGGCCGCCTGCTGGAGTATATAGCCGGAGCATTGTGGGCAGCGTGCGATTGAGCAGTACTCTGCCTGTAGCTCCTCTCTGCTCCCTCGCGTTGTCTAATGATGCCTGGAGCCAGAATATGAAGTCACTCCGGCCCTGGCTCTTCTAGTCCAGAGAGCGCAGCAGGAACAGCTCTTTTAAGAGCTGTTCCTGCTGCGCTCTCTGGACTAGGAGAGCTGGATCCTCGTCTTGGGTCCAGGGTGGGTGGAGGGTGGCGAGACCCTAACCAAGCTGCGGCAGTTCGTAGGGTCTATGGTGATTATGGTGTTCCAGTACAGTGTTTTATGGTACTCACAAGTACTAGGAAGCAGAGATTGACTGAGGTACCCGTTCGGGGGCCAGGCGTTCCGTCACATTGGTGGCAGCGGTGGGACGGCATCTTTGTGAGGAGGAGCATCCTGGAGACACCGGTATCGTATGGATTTATAATTGAGGGCAACGGTAGCAATCGGGCAGTGTGCCTGGTTGCAGTTGAACAAGCTAGCCCCCAGGCAGCATCCCCATACGAGGAGGAGTTTCAGTGGAGACTACAAGGCGCCCTGGCACAGGAGTATGGCCCTGTTTCAGCCGAGGATGAACTGATATGGAAAGATGTGGTACGACGAGAGCTGGTACGACGAGAGCTCTGGCACGAGGCACTGGAGCAGTCTCAAGCTCAAGGGGCAGAGAGCCTTCCCAGCTCAGATATGCACAGACAGAGGCAAACAGTTGCCTTTACTGAAGTCTCTTCCACGTGAAGAGTGCATCATAGAATTCCAGCGGTTGATCAGGAAGGAACTGTGACTGGATGAGGCATACCGGGCGCTACAATGGTACTCGGTGCAAAGGTGCCCCTGGATGAATAAGAGTGATTGTCCAGAGGGTTATGACTATGATGGCCCTGGTCTACTATGGGATGCTGTGGAGGAGAACAGTGACTTCGGCAGCCCGGAAGAGTCTAGATATTGGGGCATTTGGGAATACCGTATGGACGAGCTAGAGCTTCCCAGTACTGCAGGCCTGGGATCAAATATCACCCGTCTGGTCGCTATAGAATGGGAACTGGAGAAGGAGTTACAATGTAAGACAATCCCTCCCATCTGCCTGGGAGATAATTGAGTCAATTGCTGTATCAACTCCATTATTTCCAGGCGAAAAAAGAACATAATTTACAGACATTTAGAAAATACCCCAAAACCACACATAAACCCCATAAAAAAATATATCCCCTGATAACCCCGATCTGGGTGAGCAACATCTCCAAAACTCACCTATATCAGTTCAGGGGTTCGGGATTCGCATGGAGGTCTTATATCTGACGGATCACACTCGGGGCTCCTGCCCAGAATAGCTCTATAGAATCAGGCTGTGTGGCCAATCTCTTCAGTTGGCTTAAAATATAACGAAATGTCTCCAATAACTGTTCGTGGGAAAGCTAGTCGTGTGCATCTTGTTTAGGAGTTGAGTTTCACCGAACGCGGCCTCTTTTGGATGATTTGGAACGAACCTAGGTGATCCTGGAAGTCTCAGTGGTGTTTGGGCCGTTGAGTGTCCGAAAATAGTTCCATACACTCGACGACCAAACACCGCTGGACCAGTTCGACAAAACAATATGGCCATCGTTCGTGCATTCGAATCAACGGCCATCCAGTGAACCACTTAGAACGTTCAGAGTTGCGGTTAGAGCAAGTGTCAGTAAGGTCAATTGGAGGCACACGACTGCTTTAGGTGGTCCAAGGGTTTAGTATATTATTCGGTATACGACCCAGCTGGGGCAAATCTGTTCGGTTGAGTTCGTATACCGATCCAGGCAAAAATAAAAGTAATATTCAGGAACAGGGCATCTGTTACTGTGGGTAAGTTATGCTTTATGGACTAAAAGTAATTTTGCAAGGCAAATAAAAAGTGTGTGACAGAACCATCTGTCCGTGGACTACTTCTATTCCCCCTTTAGTTTCGTCTGTTTGTTTGGTTACTTGCTTGTCCGTACGCCCCCGTTAGTTTATTTTCTTAACTCTCGAATAAACTGCCAAACAGCCGGCCACCCAGCAAGGAAGTGTGCTGCTGGTTAACCTCTTGGCCCCATTAGAACGTTGAGGTTAACCGCAGCCACCTCTTAATTGTCAAAGATAGCCTGGGTGGTCGTCATTCGTATGCCGACCACGAGGCGGCGGCCATCTTGGACGCACGAATACCCAGCGGTGTTCGTCGACGATCCCCTGGAACTAAAAACTAATACTATTTCTACCGAACACAGCTGAAGCAGCCGACCTCCATTCTCTGTCATCCAGCATACGAACACTGGCCCGTTCGATATTTTCTTCCACGAATGGACTTACCCCAGATAGCCATCCCATGGAGCCCATTTGTATACCGAAAGACCATGTGAAAGACTTTGGCTCAATGGCAATTGAACTGTATGTATGTGATCTGAGCGCCATTCAGTGGTAATGTGCGCTCAGATCTAAGCTATCTGGTGATACGTTAATTGTACCTAATACATTAGGTATTTTTCCTGTTATCCATTTTTGTGTATTTTTCACTGTCACATGTAAAATGTCGATTTGCCTCTATCCTCTGAGATAATTGGATTACTTCTCCAATTATCTCCCGGATCGAGAGGAGGGTCTTTTCGGCTAAAGGGGAGTGTTTATGCCTGAGCCACTGTGATTGGCTACTGCATCAGGTCCCCTATGGAAGTGTCCACCTGGTGGAAAGCCTGCATAAATACCGGGCAGGTAGTCCACATTAAATCGGATATCTGCTTAACCTTCAATACGGAGCTTGGTCTCGTACTTGGGGGTATTGGATTCGTATGGTTTACTCGTTTGGCTGTTTGATACGTGAAGGATTTCATATGGTTCCAGTTCGGCTGATTGGATCGTTCGTCTAGCCACTTCTCCCTTCGGAAGGTGAACCCCCTTAGCGGTATTAACCCTTACTATACTTGGGTGTACCGTAACAAAGTGTATAAACAATTTTTATAATGCAGGGAATTAAAGTACTATATATATAATATATATAAAAATTAGGTTCTTGCTCAATCACCATGATGTTTCATAGTCAGATTTATTATCGTTCATAAAAATATTGTCAGTTTTTCTAAGTATGGTAAACAAAAAATAATTTAAACACAGATTTTATTTAACTCCCAGTACATTTCCACATTTCCACCAGCAGGTCAATTTCAATAGCACAACCTTCTAGTATAAGTGGTAGAGGCTAGGAGTGAAATAAAGAGTAGTAGATATTTGGCACAGCCTTCCAGTGACAGAGGTGGTGGGGGGGAATAACCGTGAGATTATGTGCTTCATGTGTTTACAATATATGTGATATACACAGAATCTGTAATTTGTTCCTCTTTATGGACAAAATCTAATTTAGCAAAGCAAATTCAAGTAAAAAGGAGTATACACAATTTTGATAATAAAGGGGTTAATGCACCCAAAATACTTGATCTCTTCGCACTCACCATGACACCTGATGGTCGTATTTATCTATTATGCAAATATTGTCTATTTTTTCTAAGTATAGCAAACAATAATTTATTGTGACCGATTTCCTTTAACTCCCAGTATGTTTCTTTTAGGTGTATTTGTCAGGAAAGGTGACAAGAACAGAAATAGCAAAGCTATGAAGAAATCTTTTAATAACAGAAGCAAGGAGTCCAACTGTAATAAATCAAGCATTTTCTCAGATACCTATATGTTCTCAATGGATACAGTAAACATAAACCCCAAACCTTTCTCATGTTCAGAATGTGGAAACTGTTTTGTCACCAATGCAGAGCTTGTCAGTCATCAGAGAACTCACACAGGAGAGAAACCATTCTCATGTTCTGTATGTGGAAATGGTTTTCGTCAATATGCAAATCTTGTTAGACATCAGAGAACTCACACAGGAGAAAAGCCTTTCTTATGTGGTAAATGTGGAAAATGTTTTGCCAGCAAAGGAGAGCTTGCTTGTCATCAGAGAACTCATACAGGAGAGAAGCCGTACTCGTGTTCTGAATGTGAAAAATGTTTTAGTCAACACGCAAAACTTGTTAGACATCAGAGAACTCACACAGGAGATAAACCATTCTCATGTTCTGAATGTGGAAAATGCTTCATCACCAAAGCAGAGATTGTCCGTCATGAAAGAACTCACACAGGAGAGAAACCATTCTCATGTTCTGAATGTGGAAAATGCTTCATCACCAAAGCAGAACTTCTTCGTCATCAGAGAACTCACACAGGAGAGAAACCATTCTCATGTTCTGAATGTGGAAAATGTTTTAGGCAACATTCAAAACTCATCAGTCATCACATAACTCACACAGGAGCGAAGCCCTTCTCATGTTCTGAATGTGAAAAAAGTTTTGTCACAAATGCAGATCTTGTCCGGCATCAGAGAACTCACACAGGAGAGAAACCATACTCTTGTTCTGAATGTGGTAAATGTTTTGGGCGACATTCAGAACTTGTCAGTCATAAGAGAACTCACACAGGAGAGATACTGTTCTCTTGTTCTGAGTGTGGAAAATGTTTTGGGCACCATTCAGAGCTTGTCCGTCATCAGAGAACTCACACAGGAGAGAAACCGTTCTCATGTTCTGAATGTGGAAAATGTTTTGGGCGACATTCGGAACTTGTCCGTCATCAGAGAACTCACACAGGAGAGAAACCGTTCTTATGTTCTGAATGTGGAACATATTTTGTCACCAAAGCGCAACTTGTCCGTCATCATCGAACTCATACAGGAGAGAAACCGTTCTCATGTTCTGAATGTGGAAATTGTTTTGTCATCAAAGCGCAGCTTGTCCGCCATCATAGAACTCACACAGGAGAGAAATCATTCTCATGTTCTAAATGTGGAACATGTTTTGTCACCAAAGCGCAGCTTGTCCGTCATCATAGAACTCATACAGGAGAGAAACCGTTCTCATGTTCTGAATGTGGAAACTGTTTTGGGCAACATTCAAGTCTTGTTAGACATCAGAGAAGTCACACAGGAGAGAAGCCTCTCTAATGTAGTAAATGTGGGGAATGTTTTGCCAGTAACTCAGAGCTTGTCAGTCATCAGAGAACTCACACAGGTGAAGTGATTTTATAATGCATCTATGGATTAACATAAGAATAAATTGTCTTGTATTCTAAAAAAAATTCTCACGCTCACACAATAAATAGTAACTTTGATAGTAGCAGTCAATGTACATATGATGCATTGGTATTATGGCACCCCCACGCTATCGTCCGTAGGTGCCTAACCTGCACCGCTAACTCTGCTCCACTTGGTTGCAGACTTACCAGCAAAACAGGATACATTGTGGTTGTATGTTCTGGCTGTTACAAAGTATACTAACTTGCCTGTTCCACTTCAATGAATATGGTTCCTTAGCATGACTTAAATTTGCATGATTCCAACCAAGACCTCAGCAAAGAGACAAGACACATGCTTCTTACTGGCAACTTGTAGGATCACCATTTCTGAGCTCTAGCTTTTATTAAAAAAACACAGCACACACATGAAATGTATTTACAAATTATTCATACCAATAAGTGTATGAACTGGGATAGAATGTAAATTAGGTTAAGCTAATTATCCCCAGGGTCCTTTTAATCTTATCCCAAGACACAATAACCTTGGACATTCCAAGAGAAAGGCTAGTTTCCCCAACCCCCAGTTTTAGTGTATAAATCATTCCCCTGCAATTTCACTTCTCAATTCACTGTAATTTATGTGTTTATGCAGCCCTAGCCACACCTCCCCTGGCTATGATTGACAGAGCCTGCATGAAAAAAAAACGGTTTCACTTTCAATCTCTAAATTTAACTTACTTTAATCACATACAGGAGGCTCTTGCAGGGTCTAGCAAGCTATTAACATAGCAGGGGATAAGAAAATCTTAAACAGAACTTGCAATAAAGAAAGCCTAAATAGGGCTCTCTTTACAGGAAGTGTTTATGGAAGGCTGTGCAAGTCACATGCAGGGAGGTGTGACTAGGTTTCATAAACCAAGGGATTTAACTCCTAAATGGCAGAGGATTGAGCAGTGAGGCTGCAGGGGCATGTTCTATACGCCAAAACTGCTTCATTAAGCAAAAGTTGTTCAGGTGACTATAGTGTCCCTTTAATACAAACTTCAAGCAAAAGTTATATTTTCTTCTAATTTTCTAGTTTTTTTTTCTTCTTAGAGCATACAATGCAGCTGAGACTATAACTACTGAATATTCCAATTTTGTCAAATATTCCAATCAGGCACTCATAATTTGGAGTTAAATTTCAGCCTTCTGAAAAATATAATGAGCTTTAAAATATCTGATGTGTTGTAGGATTTTATCGTTGTAATATGATTATTGTTGTTCTTGTATTAGTTGTGAATTTAATTTTAGACTTTCATACACAGGACCTGGGAGGCCCTACCTAGACCTAGACATCTAGTATTAATTATAGGACATATGTCCATTGTATATCAATGTTCAACATATATGGTCCTTGTTCAGATACATTGATGAAGGCCCGCTATCATAACCTTTGACCCAGAATTGCAAGCCAGACTCCCATATTTATTAAGAAGGGCCTCTTTCTGAATCTCTTCATTTAAACATGTATAAAATCATTTGTGTAAACTACATTTTACTCCCAAGTATTACCATATTTATAAATACACAAAAACAAGTCTTGCGCTCAAACTCCCACTACTCTTGGGCATCAGCAACGACCATAGTACACATCAGCCTCAATAGATACAGGAAAAAACTAAGAAAAAAAGTGTACCATTTTTATAATCTATGGCTTTAATCATAGATCGGACAGAATGGTTATTAAGCCACAACCCTTTTTACAAATCTTAAAGAATTAAATAACCTTATCTGTATGTGTATGCCTCCTAATTAACTGCATACTTAGACATATAAAAGTTTTTTGCAGATAGATATTCACCACCAATACTAAACGTCAAAAATGGATATTAATTTGAAGTGCATACATGTTGCTGTATTGGTCTAGATGTGTGTAAAAGCTTTGTTATATTTGGATGTTATGTATGTTTGAATAAATATATATTTTAAGGCTGCAAGACAATCTGATTTGATTATTGGAACTCTGATGTGACAAACAAACATCTCAGGATCTGCTAATTTCCTGCATGTAATGGTCTAGAATATGACGTCACTCTGGCATCACTAAGAGGTGCATGAGGTTGCTGAGCAGGGAGATCAGAGCTCCCTCGCCGCCCACCTCCACTGCTCACTTGTCTGCCAGACCTCCTGACCGCCCGCCAAGATGCAGCCAGCGCCACTGCACCACGGGGACTTCATGCCAGCAGCCCCACTGGACCCAACGGACTCCATGCCAGCACTCCTAAAGGTAGGGGGGCTGGGTGGAATAAAATGTAAAAAATAAATTGTGTGTGTGTCTGTTAGTGAGTTTGTATGTGTTTGTCAATGAGAGTGAATGTGTGCTTGTCAGTGTGAGTGTATGTGTTTGTCAGTGAGAATATATCTGTTCTTGTCAATGAGAGTGTATATGTGTTGAGTGTATGTCAAAGAGTGGGGGCAAGATTTAAGTCTGAATTAGTACTGGCTGAATATCTAAAAATATTTTACTACAAGAAGATTACAAGAATATAACTGTTGAAAAAGTCGAACTGTTCCCTGCAAGAAGTGTTAGTACCCTGCTTGATGCAGGTGGAACATATGTTGAATGTAGCCATGGAAGACAGCAGGGGAGGACTGGGGGGGCACTTGCCTCCCTCTGGATTTTCCAATTTTCCCCCTACCCACAAGTAATTTTCCCTTGGACTGTGACAGCTCAGTCTGAGGGAAAGAAAGAGGGAGGTGCAGGGGGCCACATTTAGGCTGCCACGGGACCGCAGGGAGCACTGTGAGGCGCCCTCCCAAATCCCCAGCAAGTTGGTGCCTCTATGCTCTGCCCCCACATTCTGGCCCTGCCTCACATACACAAGCCCAGCCCTGGCCCTGCATCTACACTGCTGACTTTACCTCCCAGTGCTCCCAGTCTCCCACAGCCTGTGACAGGTATGCTTCAGCCCTTTATAGTGATTGTGTGTGTGTGTGTGTGCCTGCTAGTGAGTGAGCCTGTGTATCAATGAGCTTGTGTGTGGTGTCAGTTAGATTGTCTGTGTCTGCATGTGAGTATGCTTATTGTCATTACAATTATGCTACCCCTGGAAAAACTTTATTTAAACGTCACAGAGTTACTATGTGAAGTCAGAGGTGAGCAGGAGGCAAAAACACATCTGTAGAAAGTTGTGTTTATAAATATATTGCTTTTTGTTAAACAAATATTTTTAACTGTTTATTAAATTAATTATGGAGTCACTGCAAAAGACTGCTGCCAAATGTAATAGATCTGTCTGTGTAATGGCGCTTCTTGTACCCCGACTGGGTACCTCCACCAAAGGACCGCTTCCTAGCTCGAACAGGGGACAAAGCTCAGCACTCTTGCCCTCAGTTGCCGTGACCTGACTTGGGCCCTGAAACTGCTCCCTCCTGGAGCCGAACAGGGAACTCGATCTAGCAACCCCCAGGCACTGGACAACACTCAGTCCGGGGAGGTCTAGTCCTCACAAGGAATATCCCTGTTGAATCCTCCACACTGGAACAGTGATTAAAGAATATTCTTTTCCCCTCCCAGTAACCAGACGACACATAATTCTGGGAGTACAAGCTGGAATACTTTAATGGCAGCCACAACTGGCCTTATATGCATGTCCCCGTGCAAGGGGCACTTCCCGATGGACCTGAGAGTAAACCACAGTAGAAACAAATACACAATTACATTGGCTCTCAGATTCAGGACACTCCCATACATAATGAGATGATGCCTCCTCTGTGCCTGAGGGATAATTGGGTCAGGAACTGTTCTAATCTAATCCAATTATCTCTAAGCACAGAGAAAAGATACTTTTTTCCAAACACCCCAAAAGTACCCTAAAAATACCTAAAAACCCCACATCACCTGATAGCCCTGATATGGGTGACCAACATATCCAAAAATCACCCAGATCAGTTCAGGGGTTCAGGAATTTCCTGGAAGTCATTTGTTTGATCTACTGCACGCATTGTCCCATGCCCAAAACAGTTCCAGAGAATCAGAGCTTGCGGTCGGTCTAATTCGTTAGTTTAAAAACGAACAAACTACCGAACATAGTCAATAGTCTTATCCTGGAGCTTGTTCCCCTTGTTCGTGGGTCCGTTTTTACCGAACAGTGTCTTTCTAAATGTTGTCGAACCGAACGCAGGAGGTCATGGACGAACCGAACGCAGGAGGTCATGGAAATCCAGCGGTGTTTGTGAGTTTCAGAATCCGAAAATAGTTCCATGAACTCGACAACCAAACACCGCTGCCTGCGTTCATGCGAACAAGATGTCTGCCACCTCGTGGTCGTATATAGGAATTGCGGCCACCCAGGCGAACACTTAGAACACTGAGGTGGAAATTGTTACAAAGTAGCAATTAGGCTTAACAATCTCCAGGGTGCTCTCCGGTTTGTGTGGCTCTTCGGTTCCCGAATCGTATAGTCCAAATACACGAACGGAGACTTTTATATCACATTTTACAAGGTCCATAGTCTGTGGGCAGGAGGCTGGCAAGCAGGCTCCTCTAGGAATTTGTGGCAAACTCACTTGAAAAGGGGAGTTTGTCACAGTCTGTAAAAGGAGTTAAAAAGGAAAGTCAAGGGGGGCGGAGCTAGCTGCGGACCAGCAAAGGCGCATGGTGCACAGCTCTGCACCAAAAACTAGGAACAACACCTGAAATTGGCGGAATATGGGCGCCTACCTCTTCCAAACCTCACCTACCAACCGAGGAGAAGACAATGGACAAGAAAAATAAAAAACTAAAGTCGGACAAAGCCCCTCTCAGCCGCGACATCGGCGAACTCCTACGGCACTCACAGAGGGCAGCATGGGAGAAAATGGCGCTGGGGAGGACTCCTCTGGTGACTTCTACCCAGACCAGAGAGAAGGGGCTCCGATAAATCAGCCCTTGGGGCCCAAGTCCAA